GAGTTTTCAGATTTCTGAGAGCTGTACGCCCGATTTTCCGTGACTGCACTTTACAATCACGCGTAATTTGACGGCTGATTTTGATCTAAATGGGCATATTGAAAGGGCCATAATTTTCTTATGGGTGGGGCGTTCGGCTCCAAATTTCCAATGTAGCAAGAGGAAGCTATGTGCTCAATACTCATACCAGCAATGGAGCGATTTCTGGATTTCGAAGGCAAGTTAAGGGGGTGCGGCACACCCCCTTAAAAGCTGCGGCAGCCGCAGCTTTTGAGGGGGTGTGCCGCACCCCATTAACTATATCAAAAAAACATTTTTAGCGGACAGTATTTATATGAATCGATAGCCTAAACCTTGTAGATTCCATAGGACTGTTTGGAGCCTGATTTGTCTTCTTAGCTCTAAGTAATATTTGGTGAAAGCACAGCAATCAAAAGCGAAAAATGGGAAAAATGAGATTTTGGTTGGCTTCTAATTTTACAGTTTGGAGGCCTTCTGAAGCGGGATTCCTGAGGTGGACAAAAAAGGAGTAGTGCTTTGTCTTGAGTGCAAAAACGGATAGCTAATTCACCTTTGAAACAAAGTCAACCGTGTTGGGGACCATTTCACTTAGGTAGCCGAGTATCTTGAATCTTCAGAATTCGCTCACATTTGTCTACAGGGGTTATTTGACATGCTAATTATGGATAGGATACGAATATCATGTTATCACTATTATCCGATTACCCAACTACGACCCCCTCCCCTTTTGACTCTTCAATACGACCCCCAGGTGTGGCGTGCCGCACCCCACGCTTGACCCTGGTAACCACATCTTAGAAAAGGGGGCTGCCGTATAACTTTTGTTTGTTGTTCGTAGGAAGACGTTTCCTGTTATTTGGTTTTCGAAAAAAAAGCGGTGCCTCATGCTGGAATCGAACCAGCGACCTTCGGTTTACAAGACCGACGCTCTGCCCCTGAGGCTTCGAAAACAGAAAGCTTGCTCAACTATGGTAACCACATCTTAGAAAAGGGGGCTGCCGTACAACTTTTATTTGTTGTTCGTAGGAACACGTTTCCTGTTATTTGGTTTTCGAAAAAAAGCGATGCCTCATGCTGGAATCGAACCAGCGACCTTCGGTTTACAAGGCCGAGGCTCTGCCCCTAAGCCAATGAGTCTTCAATCATATCGAAGCACGTTAAATTTATGGTTTGATTCTCATTACTACGAATAGTGCTACACAATCTCACAATGCTTCTTCAAGCAAAAGATGCCTCATGCTGGAATCGAGCCAGCGGGCTTCTGTTTGCGAGATAGACGCTCTGAGTCAGGGGCAGAGCGTCTGTCTAGTGAGCAACAACAAAGGCTTCAACAACAGAAAAGCTAGTTCAGCTATGGGGGCCAAAAAGAAAAGGGTACTGTCATACAAATTTTACTTGGAATCCGAGCGAAGGGATGCTTCTTGTCTCACAAATTCTATTTGACTTATTCGGGCTAGCTAGCGACACCTGTATTTTTTGCGACCGGACTCAAAATCACGGATTTGAAGCGCCGTCTTTGAAAAATTGGTTCTCCGAGATTAAACAACGGAAAAAAGCGTTTGCATGTCTATCGTTAAGCTCAGAAACTCCTCTTGTTTTTCTATTAAAAAGCACCATTGCGACTCAAGATTTGATATTCGAAGTTTCATAAATTAGAGGTATTTTCGTATCGCGCTGATAATGGAAGGCAGTTGAGCTTTTTAGTGAATATGTGGAAAATCCAATCTTCCTTCATGATCTCTGAAGTGTTGAATGATAAGAAACATTTGATGCGGCGTGAAAGACATATAACGTTATCGTTCACTTGTCATTTCTACGAATGGGTCACCTCTGCTTCGCAGAGGTTCGCACTGGCTGCACTATCCGCATGCCTTCATCTTATTCGCATATAATGACTTTAAAATTCACCGCGCGCTGCCGATCATCATGGATGAATTGTTGACAACCGTTCATTTTCAAAGCTTTTCCATGTAAAATCGGTAATTTTGAAAGAAAAAATTTTCCCGCAGAAGAAAAAATGCGATTTTGAGTGGGTTACTGAAATTATTTTTGCTTTATAGTCGCCAAAAGGATAATAATCACCTTGGACTACATATCTGTTCAGAAATCCTTCCAATTTTTGGAGTAAAAACTTGGCGAATTGATAGTTTGCGCAGTTACACTTTTTGGCGCCGATTTTGCGCAAAAATAGACTTTCTGCTTACTTTTTGGGCTGAAGTCAATGTTTTTCGGATTTTATACTGAACAAATCCACGACTTTGCGAAAAGTCTAATTACCGACCCTGGCATGCGAGAAGTCGCGTGGATCCGTTTGACGCACAGTTTTCAATGCTTCCACTAACCGGATCGGCTTGTGCTTTTGCATAGTTTACCTATATGCTGATAGCAATGGCGTACCCAGGATTTCGGCTCGGGGGAGACAAACACGCCCCCAAAAAGTTTTGTAAGGCTTAGATTAATTTTTAAAAAGATTTTAAAAATTGTTTCAATCATTTACAAGTGCAAACATGTCATTTGAAAATATTATATCCCATATAAGTAACTTTCAAAAATTTCGTGACCCGTTCTCGGGGGCCCAAAATTCTAGGCCACGACGCTGCCTGCAACTTGCTCTATGAACTCGTGACAGACAGACATAAACATACACAGGCAGACAAACAGACAGACACGTGCTTTATTATTATAATCATCTCTAAATATTATACAAAACTCAAAGATTGTCCGTTTGAAGGGTGGCGTTATATAAACGCCCGCAGCTGAGGCGATTGAGCTAAAACTCTGCATAGAAATGAGTTCGACCCCGGAAAAGGTTTTAGGCTACTCAATTCGGACATTCGTTCGGTCCTTCTATCGAATTATTGATTCGTTTACTGACTTTTGAGAAATAAAAGCTTGCAGTGACTATGATCTCATTATACCACGTTCATGGGAACAACCGCGGCAGACCTCACTTTTACTCGGTGGTTAAGCAGCAAGGAATTCGAGTCTATGTGAGCCTCTAAGTGGCTAACATAGACTCGAACTCCTTGCTGCTTAACCACCGAGTAAAAGTGAGGTCTGTCGCGGTTGTTCCCATGAACGTGGTATAATGAGATCATAGTCACTGCAAGCTTTTATTTCTCAAAAGTCAGTAAATGAATCGATAATTCGATAGAAGGAGCCTTCACAAGTTTAATTCTGCGAAGGAAAGGAAGGAAAAGCGAGGTGGTCGGAGGCAGAGGTGTGATAGGTGGAGCCGGTTCCCTCAATAGTGAAGGTGGTTCCAGCTACCACTGGCCGACCAAAAGTGAAGTTGGTAGTGCCGGACACTCACCTCCCAAAAACGTCGACCGGGGGGAGGGGGGAGGGGAGCGTTAACGTCGAATGAGCCTTCCTTCCAGGTCGTTGCCACAAGTGCGCGGAAAATAAGCAAAACAAATGCAAAAGAGATTATTGAAAGCATATTTTTATGTAAACAGCGGCATAAAATATCTAAAATAAACTGCTTATCAAATGGTGTATTTGGGAGTAAAATTTAGCGGAACTGTACGGATTTTATTGAATAAATTTTGTTATAGCGTACTGCAAAGAAAGTAGGTCGATTCAGGGAATAATCGCCGAGAACCAGAATTCTGAATAATTAAACAGTGAAAAACCATGCGTTTCCACTGTTATAAATCTGAGTACGAAGACGTCAGCAATTGCGATCTCATAGGTTTTAAAGAGTAAGTGGTGCTCTATTAGATAGTGAAAGATTCAAGTCGATTCGAGAGATGTTCGCCGAAAACCAGAATTTTAACACGTTTCTGATTGCGAAATCGCGCGCAGCGAAAAAGAGTGCACTTTCAGCCATTAGCCAACAACGTGACCTTGTAGGCTTTGTGCTACATCTGTAATCAGCTTGTCGGATAAGTTCCATACCCAAAGTTCTAAGTGGATTCGAAGTGTTTAAATTTTGTCGCTTGTGAAGGACTTCTGTGCTTTCCTTATCGAAGCGAAAGAAAGTTGCGACGTCGCACGCGTCGTTCGTGTCGCCGCACTTCGTTGCAACTGATGTTCGATTTGTGCTCATATCTCCTAAACAAATATGCGCGGCACAACTCTACAGAGTCATTTGAAAAGTAGAAGCTTATGCCTTTGACTCGATAACCTTGGACTAAACCTCCTGCAAATGCAAAAAGATTCTCCAAAGCAGGGTGCTGCACCATGTGCAGCACCGGTCCGAAACGTGTTAAAAAATAGGCCATTTTAGGTTGCTTAGTGACAGCTGACAGTTAAACTCATATAGATCCTGATTGTGAATTTGTGTAATGTTGCGACTTCATAGGTTGTAAGGTAGAAATTGCTCTATAAGATATTTTCTTATACGTACCGGTCCACTGAGATAAAGCCGAGATTCAGGCTCTTAAAAAACGGGTAAAAAACCGCTTTTTGAACTTCAATAACTCATAACTTCTCCAGAGCTGCATGAAACATGTTACGACTTCATAGGTTGGATTCTCCTCTTCAAGATCTTTCAGATGTTATATAATGTGTGGGGGTTTCGCGCCTCTCACGGCATATGCCCGGCAGTGGCTTACCCAGGGCCCGTAGTAAACCCCGCGGATGTCGTGACGCATAGCTCGGAGTCTGCTGTGGCATGTGCTGACTATCGTGGAGCGAGGCAGGCAAAGCGGCTATCCCTTTACCATTGCCGGCGGATGCAATCAATGCGGAGCGCCAGGGTAGTCGCACTTTGTCGCTATATGTCGCGACATATCGCGATATATAGCGACATATTGCGACATGTCGTGACGGACGAGACGACGAGATACTTTGTCCATCATGGAGACGCAGAGACATGGCGCAAGACTAGAGCTCGACTACGCCAACCTCGCAATAGGTCGCACATGCACACAGTTCTCTATAACGCACGTCAACTGCAATCAATATCAACAGTTGACAGGCGCCTAACATTCGACCAACGTGCCTCTCCCCACTTCGTAGGTATTCTTGTTGCTACGCTTTGGCATTCAGAAAAGGTGAGTTTATTTCGATTGAAAAGTTTATTAGATTCGTATATGGTCATAATTTATCGTGCTTACGCTAGTTTTCTCTTTTATTCCCGCGATGTATTTCATTTGTGCACTAAATCTCTTCTTCATGCCAAAATTTGTCAAATATTCAATCTTTCTTTCAATCTTAGTAGTTTACATCACATATTTTTTGCTGAATTGCTATTCGCTAGCCGTGCACCTCTCGTTCCCTTTCTTTTTTGAGAGAAAGGGCCGTCTGGCTTTACGGCTAAGAGAACAGCCCTTTTTTGAACAGAACAAGGTAGTGAATGTTTGATAATATCCTGATTTTTCCTAGGCATTTCCAATATAGTGTTTTCTTTACCGACAAGAAATTTGCTAATTTGTGTCAAACTGCAAAAGATAGCAAGCGCGGAATTCGAACCCAGCACCTATAGCACACTTCCCGTGACACTGGCGCTGCGCTACCTGCGCAACATCTCGATAGCGCCTTGGATAGACTTGTTTCAAAGCAATTGCACGTGGTAGAACTTCGGTATTAAGGGGCCAGGCATACTGCGAGAAAAACTGCATATTCGTTCACTGGTTTTGCTACTATTCCCCATTTGCTGTGCATCTTATCCTTCGTTGTATTGAAAAATGACAGTTTTTGCACCTATAGCGCAGCGCGCGTGAGCGCTGTTATCGCGGTCATGAGAGGTTCGATGTCGTGCGGAGACGCTCGTTTTGCGGTGCTTTGCGGATAGCTCGCTATAGTCTTGCGAGATACTTTGAGCTATTACGACATAGTCCCTCTGTGTTGTGACAACCAGGTGGGGTTTACTACGGGCCCAGGATTTCGTCTAGGGGGGGGGGCGACAAAAAAATTTTTCCAGTGAAGGTGCGTGGCGTCAGCCACACACTCCGAAAAATTTTTGGGATGTTTTCCAAAATTTTTCCGGGCCCCTGACCAAAAATTCAGAAAAAGGGGGCGTGGCTGCAGCCATGCCCCCGAAAAAAATTTTTACAAGGCTAATTTGAATTTTTAACAATTTTTGAAAATTATTCTAATCATTTACAAGTAATTACAAGTCCTCTGCACATTTTTATAACACATTTGAGTAACCTTCAAAAATTTCGCGACCCATTCTCGGGGGGGGGGGGGGGGCTTTTCTTTTCTTTTCACCCCAAAGTCTCCACTAGCGGTCTTCAGCCAATACATTAACATGGGCGAGGTGGAGACTTTGGTACGAAAAGTCTCCACCCCGCGTTAGAGCCGTAAAAACCACATATTATATATCATCTGAAAGCTCTTGAAGAGGAGAATCCAACCTATGAAGTAGCAACATATTCATGCAATTCTAAAGAAGTTATGAGCTGTTGAAGTTCAAAGAGCAGTTTTTACCTATTTCTTTCAGAGCCTGAATCTCGGAGGTACCTCAATGGATCGGAACGGCCAAGACACATTCTGATAGTGCAATCCCTACACTACAAAATCCTGAAGTCGCAATGTTGCACACCTTCGCATTCCAGATTTATAGGAGTCTAAACGTCAGCTGTCACTAAGGAACCTGAAATGGCGTAATTTTTTAAAATTCTTGTTCTCGGCGACCACTGCTCAAATCGACCTAATTCTTTCACTATCTAGTAGAACAACATTTACCCTTTGAAATCTATGAAGCCTCAATTCTGAAGTCTTCAAGCACCAGATTTATAACAGAGGAAATTTCGCATGATTCTTCGCTATTTTATCATTCAAAATTTTGGTTCTCGGCAGTTACTGCCTAGATGGACCTACTACATAGATATATGCTCTCAATACTTTCTTTTGCGTTCCTTTTGCTTATTTTTCTTCTTTTAAGCTTCAGCAAAAAAATTTTTTTCAAGCCCAAAAGTGGTGGTCACCCCGTACCACCTCAAAAGTGAAGGTAGGCGGAGACTCGGCTCCCATTATCGCAACTCTGGATGGAGGTGAAGCGCAAGTCGGCGAGAGGTAAGGTCTGTTTTGCGAGAGAGTGTGCACCGCTTGACGGTCCGGCTACCCAATTCCGTGTGGAACTGGGTATGCTTGCTAGTAACTTATGATGACGTGTGGGTGTGTTCGTTACGAAATTCGTAGAGCGTGTTTCAGCCAACGACCTGAGCTCAAAATTTGCTTAGTGCGCGCTAGCAGCGTGAGAGCTGATCGTGCGAAACCAGAAATGGACCCGCTGATTGAGTTCCTTAAAAATTTTTGCATCAAAGGATCCACTTTGCTTCTGGCCAGCAAAACGTAGTATTACTGTTATGGATATGTTTGACAATTTAATGTGCAAGCTATGGATGTTAGCTAAAAAGGCGTCCAAAATTCTACTACTTCACGAAAACGGCGCCAAAAAGTGGCTGTGTAAATGGTCAATATTCCAAGATTATGCCTGAGCATTTGAAAAGATTCTTGACAGAGATGTGACACACGGCGGCCATAAAAATTTCAAAAACCAATTCGAATTCGCATATGTTCTTCTGCGAGAAGTCTCATCCAGGTAAAATCAATCGGCTCATGCAACAACTTTTGAAGTGAGTAGTTGTTTAAATCCATTCGTGATAGTCATCTTTGCGCAGTGAGTTTCATTGCCATCATTACAGGAGAATGGATAGGGCATACAGATAGTAGAACCACTACGGACCTCCGCGAAGCAGAGGTGACGCATTTCGTTTCCTATGAATGAGTTAAATTCTCAGAATATAACAATCAAATTGTGCAGAAAGGTCAAAATTAGGTCTATAGTGAATCTCAACTCGGCTTTGGCTTAAATTGGACTGGCGAGAGTCCGCTTCGCGACGATTCGCGCCGTTTTGCACTCTGCGTCTCTTCATCTTATATATAAAGCTGAATGTCTGTTTGTATGTCTGTATGTATGTCTGTATGTCTGTCTGTCTGTTTGTACGTATGTTCCGAATAGAAAATTCCATTTCTGAACCGATCCGGACCAAACTTGGCACACATACACTTCGGGCCCCGGCGGGTGTCATAGGCTACTTTTCGTATCGATCGATATGGATTTTATCGATTTTTTGCAAAATTTGAGCTACGGGGCTGGGAGTTGGCACAGTTCCTCTGCCAAATTCCAGCCCCCTAGTTCAAATTTTGCAAAAAATCGATAAAATCGATAAAAGTAATGCACGGTTTCGAAAACTAATATTGTATTCGTAATCAGCATGCTCGATTACCCCCCTGTGCCAAATCCCAGCCCGCTAGCTCAAATTTTGCAAAAAAGCGATAAAATCGACATCAATCGATAACGAAAAGTGGACTGTGACACCCGCCAGGGCCCGAAGTGTATGTGTGCCAAGTTTGATTCGGATAGGTTAAGAAATGGAATTTTCTATTCGGAACATACGGCGGAGCCGGGTATGCCAGCTAGTTCTAATCTAATTCGCTGAGCCAGTGGATGTACTCTACTTCGAATGTTCTGCTTACTCTGGATTAAAAAAGATACTTGCAGCTCACCTTGCTGCTGGGAGTGAAATGGCTTATCGGAAAAGTAGGGAGGGAAGAAAGATGAACTTATTTTCCCAACTAAAAATGGGCTTCCGACGTAATCTTCCGAGCGAAAGCTCAGGCAAGCAAGAATCATTTTTTTTCACCGCTTAACCTCGCGGTTGCGATAAGATATAAAATCTCACATATCGCGAGCGGCAGCCGTCTACCATCTTCTAAGGCGAACTAAAATGGACCGGGTTAGTCCATTTTTCTCCATCGTGGACTTTTGTCTATATGATTTCTAGACGGGACAGTGCTCTTGAATTATTTTCCTATACTTACATCAAACAAAAGGAAGCCTCATGCTTATCGTGTTCGCTTGACAAAGAGAGAATATCCTTGCACCATCACTTTTATTTTTCGTCCACAACGGATGAAAAGCTGACTATTCGGAATAGGATCATCGGTGTCTGTAACATTTTCCTAGACTGCGAATATTGTGACATGTGGCTGTAACATAACTCTTATCCCGACACCAAACAAAATTAAGTCTTATGCTGTGACCAAACCTTCGCTTTTCTCTTCTCGCATTAATGTTTCTTCTCCATGTACAGGAAGAAAAAAGCTTGAGAAAAACTGTATAAAACGAAAAACTCTGAGAACTCGTATCTTTTGAGCCTCGCAAATAGAAATGCTCAGTGATCAATAGCCTCGTTCTCATTGGTAACGAAAAACATGAATTTAGATGGATAAATAGAACTTTGATGTTTATTCTTGGCATAGACGCATGTTGAACATGATTTCTGATCTTTTTTTGATGAAGCGAGTACGTTTGACAAAGTCGTTACATACTGCCGCAATAATAATAACTTCTAAAAAGGCCTAAGATTTCTTTTATCAGATAGGTGACTAGCGTCCGCTGAAAACTCTAGCCTAAATCTTCCCTTTTCCACTTCAAGAAATTTTGATACAGTAGCTTGTCCTACGCAAACATAGCAGTAATTCCATGCTTCATGTATGGCTCCTATGGGGGGAGCATGGCTTACAAAGAGCAAGTCTCCTGAGATAACAAATCAGTTCAACTATGTAGTCTCGGAGGCGAGGTTACCCTTATATTTTTGTGTAATTTGCGTAAATGTATGGCGTACTCTGGGGACGCTGGCATTGTCGGCAAATGGCTCTTTTGGCAACGTTTCCTAGAAAAATATGTCACAAACAGTAGTTTGAAACGAAATTTCCCCTACCTTTGTGAAAACAGGAACATAACTTGTGTCAGTAAGTGGAAAGATTTGTTTTAATCTTAGCGAATTCATAAAGCCTGGAGGACTACAGCAGTGATGCAAGGCCTCACATAACCCTGGTTCTGGCTGAAAAGAAAAACGAATTTGAGATAGTTGATTGTGTACTCGTACCTTTATCAAGATTTTTTTACCAGCTACAACTATAGACGCCGTCTGCATAGTTCTATAAAATGGGGAAGCAAAAACATGTGCAAGAGGAATGTTCCTAAATCTGCAAATTGAAAACTTTGGAAAAAATTAGTCCCACCAGCACAGTAGTCATATGTCTCCACCAGGATCAAGCAAGGGGTGTGGCACACGATCGCTGGTTACGACCCCCCCCCCCCCCTGATTGCTGTCTCAATAAGACCCTCCCTTAAACTATACACTTAAGATAGCATTACTTGAAGGCCCTGTCAAACATGATGGGCAACATATCCATAATTAGCATTGTCAAATTGTCAAGCATGTCAATAACCCCTGTAGACAAAGTGTGAGCGAATTCTGAAGATTCAAGATACTAGGCTACCTAAGTGAGATGGTCATATTTCACACCCCACCCCTTTGCCAAGTACTGAATACGGTTCTTGAGATTATTGTGCGCTAGAAAATAGGCTCAGACTTCTTTCTAAAGGAGATAGAAGCGTTGGTGAATTTTGGAAAAATCACGCGTTTCTAAATTCTACTCGCCGTAACTTCCTTCGGAGTAAGTTTATTTTGAATCCGAAAACAGCGCCTTGCTCATCTCATCAAGGCGAATCTTCTTTTATACAGCATGTCCTTGATATTTCGATTTCAGTATTCTTGAATCTTTCTGAGGACGTCTTTTCGCAAAGGTGTAAAGCAGCGAGCATCATCCCGAATACATTCCAGCAAGGATCTTTCGATAGCACTTTTTCTGTAGATTATGATGCGCTAAACAGTAGCCGTAGATTTCATTTCAAAGGAAATACTGGAAAAGGGCTGGTGAGTTGCGGAAAAATTCGTCCTCCCAAATTCTATTTGCCATAGCCCTGGAATAGGAAGCTATCTTGCTAAGCAAATTTGAGTTCGAAATCAGCAGGTCGAGAAAGCTCTATGAGCAAGTTTTCCGACATGTTCGGATTATTTCATTTTTTCTCGTTTTACGCTCTGGAAGCTCGCCGATGGATTTTGGTCAAAATGTCGATGCTCTTGAATTGTAAGGAAACTTCGCTCATAGAGGTTTTCAAACACGCTCTTTACGAAAATCTCGGTCTTTGAGTATTACAGGGTCTTTTTGGAGAGATACGGTGAGGTGACTGTAACTGCATTACGAAAGTGCGTAACTTTGCCCGCACTTTTCGCGTATCTATCAGAAAACTTACCTGCTTGCTTTTCTCAGGCAAAGCTACTAGGAACTGTGATATCGAATGGTGCATGACTCAGGATCCAATCTGTAAAAATCGCCGATTTACGAGCCTATGAAAGCACATCCTTACGAATTTTGCTCAAAATGTAAAGATCGCATATTTTGTCGAAATTCCACCGTGAGTGCTTGTATGACGCTCGCATTGCGAACATTATGTTCGCTTCGGGCAATGGCTTCCACTGTATTGAACATGGTGCTTGCGTGTGCTTCACCTGCTCGATTAAATATCAAAGCTATTTCAAGGCTAGAGTGTAAACTAACGAATCTAACATAATAAGATCCATTAAGTATGTGAAAAAATTTGATCAGCGCGTTGTACAAGCACTCACGGTGGAATTTCGACGAAATATGCGATCTTTACATTTTGAGCAAAATTCGTAAGGATGTGCTTTCATAGGCTCGTAAATCGGCGATTTTTACAGATTGGATCCTGAGTCATGCACCATTCGATATCACAGTTCCTAGTAGCTTTGCCTGAGAAAAGCAAGCAGGTGAGTTTTCTGATAGATACGCGAGAAGTGCGGGTAAAGTTACGCACTTCCGTAATGCAGTTACAGTCACCTCACCGTATCTCTCCAAAAAGACCCTGTAATACTCAAAGACCGAGATTTTCGTAAAGAGCGTGTTCGAAAACCTCTACAAGCGAAGTTTCCTCACAATTCAAGAGCATCAACATTTTGACTAAAATCCATCGGCGAGCTTCCGGAGAAAAAAAAGCGTAAAACGAGAAAAAATGAAATAATCCGAACATGTCGAAAAACTTGCTCATAGAGCCTTCTCGACCTGCTGATTTCGAACTCAAATTTGCTTAGCAAGATAGCTTCGTATTCCAGGGTTATGGCAAATAGAATTTGGGAGGACGAATTTTTCCGCAATTCACCAGCCCTTGTATTTCCTTTGAAAGAAATCTGCGGCTACTGTTTAACGCATCATAATATAGAGAAAAAGCACTATCGAAGGGTCCTCGCTGGAATTTACTCGGGACAATGCTCGCTGCTTTACATCTTCGCGAAAAGACATTCGCAGGAAGATTCAAAAATCGAAATATCAAGGACACGCTGTATGTAGAGCGATTCGCCTTGATAAGCGGAACACGGCGCTATTTTCAAAATATACTTATTCCGAAGGAAGATATGGCGAGTAGAATTCAAAAACGCGTGATTTTTCCAGAATTCACCAACGCTTCAATCTCCTTTGGAAAGAAGTCTGAGCCTATTTTTTAGCCCACAAAAATCTACAAGAACAGTATTATCGAATAGTATTTAGCAAAGTCTTCTATGTTGGATAGGCGCTGCTTCACATATTCGCAAAAGGACTTCCGCAGAAGAATTTAAGAAAACTGGAAACGGAATATCGAAGACATCGTACCCCCACTTCCAATTTATCAGAAGAATCTTCTCGCCAAGCTGAATTGAATGGTGGCTTTGGATTCAGAATTCGTCCACTCTGAAGCGAGATATGGCCACGCCACGATGTCCATACATGTAGCGACATGTCCATACATGTAAAGGCAGTGCATGACGAAGGCGCAGAAGCTTTCTTATAGGGTGATTCAGAAGTAATGGGGCACCTAGAGAATAAATGCAGTTTTCTCAAATAGAAAAGCTAGTTGGAAGTCCAAGTTTTGGCAGATGTTAGTACATAACAAGACCTTCTGATCGAACTATAGTTGGACACTGTCACGTGGCGTTATTTTTATAAGCGCTTAAAATTAAAGCTCATCACTTCAAGTAATTTTGGACTTTAAGCAGCAGCGCCGCAGTAGAACAAGTGGGCCTACCAAAGATATTTGCGCAGCAATGGGTGAGGGGACTGTCACCAAATCCACGATAGCTCGGTGGTCCCAAAGCTTTAGAACAGAAGATAGCATTGGGTATCAGGAGATATATTACTTATTCTTTCATCAAGGTTATCAAATAAGCTCAACCTTAACAGTTGCTTTCTGATAGTGCCTTTTACGCTCTATCCAAATGTATGCAAAATACTTCTTTTCTCATTTTCAAAAAATTGTGGGCCAAAATATGAATTTTAGTCTGAATATTTGCGCCAAGCACCGCACTTTTTCAAATAAAGTGCCTTTCTTGTACGAAATAATGGGAAATTTTTGAATATTCAAGTAATCATTAGAAAGAGCTTGGAAAGCTTTTTCGAATGTTATACCATATGTGGAGGGACTTTCAGGTGCAACAGCACAAATTCGGATGGCGTACAAAAAAGTCTGTCTTACTTCTTTGAAGCGCCGCTCGAGAGAATGTCGGTGAGGTACTGCAAGGTGCTGTCAAGATAATCTGCGAAGTTCGCTTTATACAAAAGCGTTCAAATTGCTGGTTGTTCATAGCTAATCAGAAAGAGATCTTGAAGAATGTTTAAAAAATCAAGATGCCCCATTACTTTTGAATCACCCTGATAGTTGAGCGGGAGCGAACGCGGCGCGCCTATCTTTACCGTTGTTAATCCTGCGTCTTATGCGCTCCGCGGCTAATACAGCCGCTTTCGCGCCCAAAGATATTGCGCCTTCGTCGGGCAGTAGAGTATATGTACCTTCGCGTCAGTGGCGTACCGAGGAGGGGGGGGGCGCCCCCCCCCCCTCCCCTCGAGAATGGGTCGCGAAATTTTTGAAAGTTACTTATATGAGTTATAAAAATGTGCAAGTGACTTATTTATAAATAATTAAAATATTTTTCAACATTTTTTAGAAAATTAATTTAGCCTTATAAAAAAAATTTTCCGGGGGCGTAGCTGACGCCCCCTTTTTCTAAAATTTTGGCGTTATGGACCCGCGAAAATTTTGGGAAGCATACCAAAAATTTTTTCTGGAAATTTTTTTTTCATCAGAAAAAAAATTTTGTCCCCCCCCCCCCCAGCGGAAATCCTGGGTACGCCACTGCTTCGCGTCTATTTTTCAAAAAATGTGAGCGGTATTGTATTATAAAAAACTTCTTGGAAATGTTTATATCTGCTCATCTCTATATATCATGTCGGCAGCAAATCGAATATGATATTTACGCTCAACAGGTCAGATTACCTAATATGCAAAGTCTGGACGAAATCTGACAGTTGCGACCCTTAGGCAATGACGGGCTTTCGGGGCAGCGTTGACGTATTGACTCCTTCAACTTCTCGAGGACGCCAGACTCCAAATTCTTTTCAATTTGCATCTCTTTGTTCACTAAGCTTTGTAACACCTTGCTTTCATGCTCCAGTTGCTTCACTTAAGTTGTGCATGACTTCATTTTTTGCTTTTGAAATTGTAAGACCGCAAATTCACCAGTTTTTGAAAAACGCGAAAATTTTTTGAAAAGAATCCATTCAAAGACCAAACAATTCAAACACAGCCTGGAAGTTATGCAAAACTTGTTCACTGACCCCTAATATCAATGCTTCGTTACTATGGGCAAAATGTTTACTAGTGCTGGAGGAGGTCCGATCAGGGCTCGGCACAGGTGGGATATAAGCAAGCTGGATATCGTTAGGCCAAAAAGCAAAGGAAATTTCGTTTTTGTGGGTCCGAAATTACGCTCTTTTAGTCGAGGTCTCGTTTTTCTAATCGCTTCGGATATTCCGAATAAGGGTCAAATAGGATTCGTAAACACAACGTAAATTTGTAAACTATGTAGACAGCCACATAGATGGCATCATCAAGTTACATGTGGTCAACCCAAAAATCAAGTGATCTGCAATAACTTTGAGCAAAAGGTAACGCATGGAAGTTTGAAGGCTTCGTCCAGGCAAGCCTGGACACATGAGAATCTCACGTGGAAATTAATTTTGGGGCCCTAACTAAGCCACTGCCCAACTCAGGTAGTGCTCTAAGAGATTTTTCCCTCGAAACTGGGCCCCGG